TATATATAAATTAAGATTGGTAAAAAATAGGGGGAAAATGGAGAAATACCAGACCTCATTTGCTTTTTTTTTTCAGCTTTAATTGATTATATTGGTACATTTTAGGGATACAGTTACATTCTTTGTTGGGATCTTGTACCTCTACATGACAAGTCTTGATTCTCATTTTTTCCTCTTACCCCTGCCCTCCCTTCACTCCCTCCTCATTTGCTTATTTTAAGGGGTTAGAAATAGAAGAGCAAGGTAATAGGAATAGGAAAATAAAAAGAATTATAGCAAAGTCGGAAAACATTTAAGACATAACATTAGATGAAAAGACAGAATATAAATTACATCTTACCTCATAATTACTATAAGTAATCAAAGCAAAATGCAAATGAGCCAAAACTGATTTGAAAACACTTTTCTGATTACATGATAGATTATGGACCAATTTGATCTGGTATTTTTGATGTTTTAATAGTTTTGGAAGTACAGTAAAATAAAAAGATAGCTATGGTTTATGGGATAGACAAATTTTTATGGAGTGGTTGATCAAGATATACCTCAGGTTTTTGTTTTTTGTTTTTTGGGGGGTTTTTTTGCTCTGATTTTTAGAAAGAAAGCATGCTAAACAAGTGTACTAACCACTGAGCCAAAACCCCAGTCTTAACTTGTCTTTTAAAAAATCTATTGGTAAAGATAATGGGATTATTGCCAGTGTTTTCTAAAAATTTGGAACACTCTATGCCAAAACATTGAATGGTTACCTATGGATGACAGGATTTGGAAGGGTTTTTACTTTTTCTTTGTTTGCTCACTTGTTTTGTCTTTTGTGGTGCTGAGGATCAAGCCGAGGGCCTCTGACATGGTAGGCATGTGCTCTGCCACTGAACTATAAAGCACCATAGCCCCAGCCCTTCTTCCCTGCTTTATTTTTTTATAGATTTTTTTTCTTTTTTTCGGTGCTGGAGGTTGAACCCATGTCCCTTCATGTGCTAAGCACATACTCTACTACTGATCCTTAGCCTTTTGCCTAATTTATTTTATCATAACTATGTACTGCTTTTAAAATCCAGGCAGGAGAAAAGACTACTTTCAGGTAGGTATAGGGAAATGAAGGAAAGATTTTCATGTAAGTAGTACTTTCAAATAAGCAGATTATTTTGGGTAAGATTAGTATTAAAATGTACGAGAGAATTCTGGCTGTTGCTCTGGAAAACTGTTCTTGTACTATCAGAATCATGAAAACAGCCAGGCATGGTGGCAATGCCTGTAGTCCTAGCATTTAGAAGGTTGCAGCAGGATTGTTATGAGTTCAAGGCCAGCCTGCTCTACCTAGTGAGTTCAAGGCCAACCTGAACTACATAGGGAGACCATCTTTAAAAATAAATCATGAAAATAATTTTCCACTTCATTTTTTATTGTGTTAGCTAACACCTATACTCTGTGTAGCCATTCCAAATTGGAATTTCTTTTCTTTTTTGGCTTATTTTTATTTTTAAATTTTTTATTTTTTGAGACAAGTCTCATTAGAAGTTACCCATCTGGGGCTGGGGATTTAGCTCAGTGGTTCCACTGCCTGCCTTGCCAGTACAAGGTCCTGAGTTCGATCCCTGGTACCAAAAAAAAGAAGTTACCCAGGCCAGCTTTGAACTCACAAACTTCCTGCCTCAGCCTCCCAAGTATTTAAGATTACAGTCTTGATCATTTTTTAAAATCCAAAATGTTTCTTTATAAAAAAAATAAAGGCCAAAGAGAGTATTAACTTACCTGTTGTCTTGGATGGCAAAAATAAAATCACCACAAGAAGAAATCTGCACATTTGGAATAGACTTCTGCTCTTCCATGCCATCTTTAATGAACTGAAGTTGAGTCTTCTGGGGTAAAAAAAGGTGCAGTTTGTTTTGCACTTTGATCTACAATGAGTTTATGAACTTTCTTCCTGTCTATTTGGTATTTAAAATAAAGTTCTAATGAGTCATCCTAGCTATAACGGTACTACTTCTAGTTTTTAATTAAACAACTCTGATCTGAATAAGTTCAAAGTACTTCTAATATTAAGAACTTATTTTTTTGGTACCCAGGATTGAACTCAGGACCTGGCGCTTGCAGAGCAGGAGATGGAACCATTGAGCTAAACCCCCAGCCCAAGAACTCTTTTAAGGCAACAAAAAGAAAACCACAAGGAAATACAGTAGGGTATAAGATACAGGGCAGCCTGGGGAATATAAAACCGGTCTTCCCTTGAAAAATAGAATGTCATTTTAACAGAAAAAGAAATGAAACTGACTTCATTATCAGGTAGTCTTAACTAAACAAAGTAATTATTGTTTTGAAAGATTCCCTCTGGTCATTTTTAGAAAGTTGTTCTCTGATTATAGAGAATTCAAATCCCATAGATTCAAATGTGTACCCAGAAAGGACTCAGTGGAAACAGTTCCTCTAGTTTTAAACCTTGTTAATATCTTTGTGACTGTTCCTTAGTATTCTTTCCCTTGGCCTGGGATGAACTAAAGATCATAAACCAAGGCTTCCTTTCTTCCTTTTTTGGTGTGCTTTTGCTTCTATATACCTCTCCCTAAGATATCAGTCTGGAAAAAATATGTATCCTTTACTTCCTTTTAAGAATACTACTGTACCAGAGATTTAGCTTAGGGGTAGAGCACTTGCAAGGTCCTGGGTTCACTCCCCAGCACTGCAAAAAGAATACTTCTATAAATATAGTAGAAACACATACTATGTAATGGTACTGTCACATATGTTCTTTCAGTCACAGGTAACCCTACAACCATCCCTTTGAGTAGTTTCTAAAGGCTTAGAGAAATAATGCAATTAGCCCATGATTCTAAAGCTAATAAATGCCAGAGTGAGGATTCAAACCCAGGACTCCCAAGGCGAGGCTCTTAACCACCCTCTTGCCTAAATTAATATCCTCTTCCTTTATAAGATGCCATTAATCCTTTCTAGTCCCTGGCTACTCCATTGGCCTAAGCAAGTTGGAATATTATCCCCTTAACATGGATATTAACTGTCAAGACCCAGGATATAACTAGGACTACTCTGGGTCTCCTCTGCTCTTCCCTTGTTCCAGGCCTGTCCCAATAGGAGCAAGATTCAGTCCTGCCAGGATCACCCTCTCTGGCTGGCAAGTCTGCATCAATCTTTTAATACAATGCAATTAGTATTAATATCGATTCTTTTATAATTTTAAATTTTTGTCCAAGATATTTCTGTCACACTGCTATAACAGTGATTATTTCAGAATTTGGTCATTAATAGAGTTATTTTAATTACATTTACTCAACAAAAACTGGGATATGAACCTCTCAGCAGACCTTACCCCACAGACATCCCCTTGCAAAAGAAGAGAACTGATGTCTTCTCTTTTCCTCCTCTCAACTAAGACATCAACTTTTCATAATGAATGTCCTTCACTCTTTGCCTTCTCTACAAGATAGGCTTACCACTTACCTGCTGAGCTCTGAAAAGCTGACTTCCTTTGCCCTCTGTTCCTCTGCCTAGGACCCTGAATTCTGTCCTTGTTACTATCCTTTATAATACTTGAATTTGAACACTTTATGACAGTAGGGTCAAATAAATAAGATGAATTGGGTTCAAAGTCTGTTTCTCTTTATGGATCCTTAGAGAGGACAGTAGTTGGGAAAGACATCTTCTTAAGATCTAAGTTTTCCTGTGTACCTAGGTTACTAGGCGGGGCTGGATATTACTAACAAGGATGTAATGTTCCAAGGAAACCTGAACTTACGCAAAAATATGTAGCACATCTTGCTGAATATAGTCATACTCAAGTGAGATGACTGTGCTTTGACAATCTGATAGCTTGGGTATTGTGGTAGGACATGTCTAAGGAGAGGTTCGATTTTCACAACAGTCAAAGCATTGGAAGATTCCACACAATTTAAGTAATGCTGGAGAATAGAGCCCAATGTGTAAGCTGTGCCAAGCCAGAGTAGGGGATCGTTTTAGTACCTTCAGGCTCTCATCTAACTGAGGAATATTTGCATTATACTCTCAGGAATTAGCAATCAGTAATACTTGTTTTATTGATAAAAACTATGTTTATGGTATTACTACCAATACAAAATTTTATCTGCCAAGTACTAATGTTCCCATGAATATAAAAATAGAAGAATATTTATTCTTGTCCACACATTTTAGCACATTGGTTAAATACACTAGAGATCTATCTCTTACTAGCTACGTGACATTGAAAAATTGCTTAACTGCTATTGAAACTCAGGTTCTTGATCCATGCAATAGGAATAATGATAGTTCCCTCCCTACAGAGTCACTCGGAGGAGTAAATGAAATGAAGCATGTAAGGCAGCTGCACAGTAAGCCCTTATTAAGTAATAATTATTTACTATTATTATTAGTTAGGCAAGGCTGGGTATAATGAACAAGCACAGCTCACTACAACATTGCTCAAGTAAGGATCATCACTAAGAGCCACTCCTGTTGGCTGGGTACAGGCTCCCCCAAAGAGGTTTTGAGTTTGTGTCTCTGTAGATCTAAGAGCAGTGTGTTTTACTATTATCATTCAAAGTGAGACAAATCAGACACACATATTTAAATACTGCATTATTGCTCTGGCGTGAGAAACTGAAAGAGGAAATAAGGACTGAAATGCATAATGGATGTTGGGAAATGGGAAGAACATGTTCAAATGGGAAGGGAGACAAGGGAGGAGGGAGGAAGAAAGGAAGGGACAAGAAAAAGGTGAAAATAGAAGGAAAAATGGAAACAAAGATGTTGAACATAGGGAGGGAAGGGGATTTGGGGGGTATAGGATAAAATAAAATTTTAAAAAATAAATTTAGCGCTGGTCTGAGGTCTTGGTTCTGGGTACCTCCAAAGAAGACCCACAGACAAAGCTTTGGGTGCAAACAGTTTATGTAAAGGCAATCTCGGGACGCATAGAAAGAGAGAAGGGGGGAAAATTAAAACAGGATATGTTAATGAACAAGGGAGTGCTGTGGAGACTTTGGGAAGATCTGTGGAACACTCCTCACAATCAATGTACTATGGGGAAGCAAGCTTGGGTGTTTATCAAGAAACTTCTAGCCGGGCATGGTGACGCACGCCTGTAATCCCAGCACTCAGAGGCTGAGGCAGGAGGATTGCTGTGAGTTCGAGACCAGCCTGGGCTACATAGTGAGTTCCAGGTCAGTCTCAACTATATAGTGAGACTGTATATCAAAAAACAAACAAACAATAACAACAGAAAAACCAAACCAAAACAAAGAAACTTCTGTCCATTATTGTTTTTTGGTTTTGTTATTGTTGTTGTTTTGTTTTATTTTTTGGTACCAGGGAACAAACTCAGGATCTTGCACTTGTGGGGCATGTGGCGGTACCACTGAGCTAAATCCCTGGCCCTCTACATTATTGTTTGAGGGATCCTTGGTATTTTGATTCCCGAGCATTTCCAGCCTGTTGTGTACGGGCAGAGTATACTCTCTCAAGCCAGCCAAGAATATTCAGAGAAAGACATGCAGGAAGTTATGTGATACATGGGAACTCTTAGCAGGTAATCACTATGTAGGCCAAGGGGATGTCAGCAGGACACCAACAACAACTTCTACAATTTTTTAGGTGATACTAGAAAATAACAGTTAATTATCTGCGGGTGTGATAATGGTACTGAAGTTATAAAGGAGAATGTACTAATTCTCAGAAGAGGCCTGCTGAAATATTTGGGGCTTGAGTGGAGTGACAACTAAAACTAACTTTCAAATGATTTAGCAAAACTAAGGCTAGGGATCTAGCTCAGTGGTAGAGTGTGTACCTAACATGCATAAGGTCCTGTGTTCAACAACAACAATAATGATGATGATGATAATGATAATAACAAAATAAATATAGAAAGTATTAACTAACATTTTCTGAATCTACACAGGAATATTTAGATATTCGTTATACTGTTCTTTCAACTTTTCTGTATGCCTGACTTTTTATAACCAAAATGTTAAAGAAATTTACTTAGCAGATTTTTATTGAGCATTCACTATGTGCTAAGAATTCTAAATATTGGGGTTGCCAGTCCCATCCAAGCCAATATGGTAGCTTTTTCTTGAATTAGGAAAGAAAGCTTCTCAAGTTACTCTACTTCCATCTGTGGAAAATTGTTGTAATAACTCTACAAAACTATGATAGCTACAAGATAAATAGTGCTCTATGGACTCCACAGTATGAAATGGGTAGGCTGGGAGATACACAAATGAATAAAATAAAGCTCCTGACCTTTTAAGGTCTTAGATTCTGGAGGGAAAAATTAATAATGACCATCAGTAGCACTATAGAGTTCCTCAGATGCTGAAGAGGGATTTCCAGTAAGAAATATGGTAGCATGCATCACTTTGGAGCAACAAAGGAATGATATGATTGTCTAAGCAAATCCCTAGAACAGTCTTCTTTGCTATAACTGCCAGAGAGAAGAAATCTTTTTTTTTTTTTTTACAAGTAGTTAACTATTAAACTTAAATAGTTTGTCTGGTTGGAATATTAATAGAGTTCAGGGCTGGGGATATAGCTCAGTGCTAGAGTGCTTATCTGGTATGCACCACATCCTGTGTTGAATCCCCAACATCACAAAAACAAAATAAAATAGAATTCAATACTCCACAGCTTCTACCAGTAGCTTAGGCTCAGAGTGGGAGAGGAAGGGCAGCCTTGAGTCTGAAAACTCCAGGAACAGACACCTAACTGCTCCACATCTCCAGGCCTTGGCACTTCTGGAAAGGTAACTGAAAGGGGCATCTAGGAACTGGCAGCTATGACTTTCTGATTAAGGAAAGTATAAGAATTATGAGGGGCTGGGGATGTAGTTCAGAAGTAGAGCATGTGCTTAGCATGTACAAGGCCCCGGGTTCGGTAACCAGCATCACACAGACACAATCACTTGGCGGAAATCTAGGTACTTTCCTTCATTAGTTTGGTAATCTCACCATTAGCAAGCCTCCCATGCAATTCTGATACAGTGGCTTGTAAATTTCTCTTTGAGAACCATAGACCGCGGGACTAGACATTGGTCAATGTGATGAAAGTTCTTAGCAAAGGGGAAGCATTTAGCACCGTGCCTGATGCGTGATGGCCACTCAAGAAGCATGAGCTGAAGGAATAAAGGAAGGGCAAGATGAGCAGGATGCCCACTCTGAAACAAAACAGAGGCGTAAGTTTGGTGCTCTGCCCTAGAGAAGGATATGTACCCAGGGCTGCGCCGAAGGAGACTGGCTTCACAGGCTCAATAGGCCCGATGGTACTTTCTACAGCATAGCAAAGAAGAACGGGAGAGAGAAACAACCAGAAGGCAGAAGAGGCCTGAGGGAGGTGCTGTTGACTGATGAGCAGGACCATCCTTGGTCTGTCTAGTTGTAGTCTTCCCATTGGCTGTGACCAACATTCATGTGACAGGTTCAGCAACTCAGCAAATAGCTAGGGGGTCACAAGTCACCTGAGTCATCTGGCCAGGTCACTGGGAATGCCACTGAGGCTTTTAGAGTGACGGGAAAGCTACAAATCTGGAGATTGAAGCTTACTGATAAGTGTGGTTCTTGGACCAACTCAAGGGCCCAGCACGCTTCCTTTTCCATTCAAAGTCCAACACGGCATCCATTGATCTGCTTTAAATGGGTCACCAGAAGCCAGATATGGTGTAGTAACCCTATAATCCTAGCACTCAGGGGGCAAAGGCAGCAGGATTGGGAATCTGAGGCCAGTCAGGGCTACACAGCAATCCCAGAACAGCCCTAACCATAGAGTGAGACTCTATCTTTAAAAAAAAAGCAACACTGGGGCTGGGGATTTAGCTCATTGGTCGTGCTACCTGAGTTCCATCCCTGGCACCCCCCCCCAAAAAAAGCAACACTGGTCACAGGACTTCAGAATTTCCTGCTTAAACAGTGATCAGTGATCCTCTAACTTCCCATCCCCTGTCACCAAAAACTTAGACCTTAAATCACCCCTGAATTGAGCTAGAGGTAAGGTTCAGTGGTAGAGGTTATCATGTGTGAGAACCTGGGTTCAATTTCTTGCATTAAAAAAAAAAAAATCTGGGCCGGGCATGGTGGTGCATGCCTGTAATCCCAGCACTCGGGAGGCTGAGGCAGGAAGATTGCTGTGAGTTCAGTATCAGTCTGGGCTACATAGTGAGTTCCAGGTCAGCCTCAACTACATAGTGAGACCCTGTCTCAAAAAAACAAACAAACAAGAAAAACCTGAATTGCTACCTGTCTAAAGTACAGGTCATTCCATTAATTGTAAATTTCAGCTAAATAATGAATACTGAGCCAGGCATATTTGTGCACTCCTATAATCCCAGCACTTGGAAGGCTGAGGCAGGAGGATTACTGTGAGTTTGAGGCCATCCTGGGTTACACAGTGAGTTCAAGACTAACCTGAACTATACAGTTTCAAAAAAAAATGACCCTATCTCAAAACATAAATAAATAATGAATACTTTTGGAGCATAGTCTTGTGCAGCTATTTCTATGCATTAATAACAAAGACAATATTTGGTAAACACATTTGAAAGGTTATTGCTTCTCTGAAATTCCAACATAAGTAGGTGTCCTATCTTGTATGTGGAAATTCTACATCTGTCTAACCTTTTGCTTTGTTTAATAGGCAGGGAAATGAAATACAGATAGGTAAAGGAACTAGTCGTAAAGGACATAGTTCTTTAGTGGCAGAGAATCCAGATCCATTTGAGTGTTGGCCGTGTCCTTTTCCAAATGTCTTACTTCAGAGTTTCTTAATTTGGCTTCTTGAACTATAAATGATCTTTAGAGCATCATGGAAACTGCTGAAAGTGTGAGCAAAAATTGTGTGTGTGTGTGTGTGTGTGTGTGCCTGCATGCATGTGCATGCAGGCATACACATGTGTATTTTTATAAGGACCCTGAATAGACTTAGACATCATCTTACCCTACACAATCCATCTATATAATATCAACACAGAAATTCCCGACTTTATTCTCCTTCCCTCTTTGCCCTCCATGAATTTTTAACTTGAAGGGAGGAGTAAGAGAACTAATCTTCACTGAGTACCTACTCCATGCTTACCCATTATACATGTTTTTCCATTCAGTCTCCCCCTCTACCTAGAAGGTGTTAAAGATTATGACCTTTGGCAGGGCGAGGACTCTAAGGCTTAGCAGCCCTTGAGGGAAAGATGATAAGACTAGGAGAGTAACCCAAGTGTGACTGTCTTCCCAAAGCCCTTTGTCTCCAGATTTATAGCAAACTGTAGACAGTGCCGGTGGCCTTTTATTCCCTAGCGTCCTCCGCTTGGAACTGCAGCAAGTCGGAGCACCTTTAAGAGAGCAGGTAGGAGGTGGCACGATGTGACCTTCGTGACTGACCACTAGAGGTCCCCTCTCACCTGAAAAGCTTCTGGAACGAGGGGTTGGAGGAGCTACTTCCTTGAAGCAGGCCTGCCAGTTACAGGTGTGAATGGCCTGTTCTGTACCAAGAGGTAGGGGAGAAGCCACGGGAGACTACGCGAGCGATGAAAAATAAAGTGGCTTCCTTGGAAGGCTGGTGGTATCTTCTGGTAGCAGTTTTGAAGGTAGAGTTTTCAGGTGGGACAAGTTTCTAAATCTTAAAATTCTCATCCAAAAGGAAAAAATACAGAACATTCTACCACCTACCACCAAGAGGCAAACTTCCTGTTTCCTTCTGAGTATAGTCTGTGTCCAGCTTCAGGGATGTATTTACTGGAAGCTAATGAAGCTTCAGCTTCAGGGACCCTCATTTCCACAGGCCCCTTCTAAAGGCTCTGGCCCTAATCGCTGTATGTTTGTAGTTTTGAATTTTTCTAAATACCCCCCACTCCCCCACACCAACACCATAGCCAAAGCATATAAATACTGAATCAGGCTCCACAAGGCCTGAATAGAGTCTTGACTTGGTCCAGGATACAAGATTTCATAGAAGAGGAAAAAGAGGGTGGAAAGTTTCAAAGGGAAGCTCCTCTGGAGACTGATAAGACAGTTTCCTGCAAGATGAAAAAGAAATTCATACACGTGCCAAAGAGCCTGGCAGCCAATTAATTTTTAAAGAGCAGGAACTGCAGGGGCACCAGAAGCGAGGATGTCCCCTTCTCTCGCCTACCCAGAGTTTTCTGTGGCTAGCAGGAGTTGCCAAATCTTTAAGGGCAAGGTGGTTCAGTGACAGAACTGTAGCATCCTGTTCTCTGCTTTCTGAATAAACAAATAGTCTTGCCAGTCATTGTGTAGATTTGGAACAAGAAGAAAAAAAAACAAAAAAACACTACTGTTCCAGAGTTCCTGAGTTGTGGTTTGCTATGAACTTTTACAAAAGAATAAATTATTAGGGTGGAATTGAAACGGAGGGAAAATCTAAGCAAACTACCTGCTCTTAATTCCACAATTAATCCCCTAGACCTAACTTTATCAGCCTTATCTACTTTCAGCTCATAAGTATCCTCCAATCCCATTCCTGGGAAAACAGATTTGAGATCTGCACTCTAATCTCCCTATGGTTGGCTACTTTGTAAATAGAATTTTTCTCTTCTGCAAAATTTATAATTTCATGGACTAGGTTAATGGCTTAGTGGGCAAAGGTGGCTTGGTTTGGTAACAATGAATAACTCTGTTTGGAGAGATATGACTAGGAATATGAAGAAAGGCTAGCGCAATAACCAAAATTTGAGAAGCAGATGATAGTAGGGAGCAGGGAGTTTACAAGTCTGAGACCAGATTGGGCAGTTTAGCAAAACCCTATCTCAAAATTTTTTTAAAAAGGGGCTGGGGATGTGGCTCCATGTGAAGTTCTGGGTTCAACTCCCAGTACCATGTACACAGACAAAATAGTAGACAATATCATCACAAATTTCCAGATGAAGAAACGGAGGTCCAGAGAATTTAAGGACATATAGCTAGTAAAGAGTGGAATAGTTTGTAACAATTTATATTTTAAAATTCTAAATCATATAACATAGCAGGACTTAACAGGAGAAACAATTCCTCACTGTGATTCTCTCCTGGACTCCCTTCTCCTAAACTTGCTCCCCAGTACAACTCTTTTTTTTAAGACCGAACTATTTCTTCTGGTAGTCACTTTGATGTCTCTGTCTTCAACCATAGGTTTATTATTACAATAATGATGGCAGCAACTTTGTTTTATTTTGTAGCTTCCTCCTGAATGTCTGCAACAATGCTTGGCAGTGGTAACTATTTGTTGAAAAGTACCATTTTCCCCCCGCTTCCATACTAGGGATTGAACCCAGAGCCTCTAAAGTACACCTCCAGCTCCAATCATTTCTTGATTTATCAATTGACGTGTTATGAAAAATGAGGATCTAGTGTACCAAACACATTTCCCTTTTACTCTCCAATATTTTTAGCTCTTCAGCTTTACTTTTGAAACACACATACCTATTTATTTCCTGCTCCACAATTGCAAATGATTATCTTTGAACTCCAGTGTGAGGATCTTGATTTCGAAGTAGGTCTGCCCCATCCAAGGGCCCCTGCACTTCCCCTCCACACTGAATCTCCCACAGGGCTACTTCAGGATCAGTGCCTGCCTAATTTGGAGAAATGTATTTTAAAATAATAGGCACAGGGAAATGGATTTCATCCAGAGACACCCTTGGGCCAGCATTTACTAATGGAGAATAAGTAAAAAATAATAGAGTGAATTCTAGCTAGTCTCTTAAAATTAAACATTAGGGCTAGAGATGTGGCTCAGTGATGGAGCACTTCCCCAACATGAGGT